GTCAGATGTGAAGCTATTTATTTCTTGTGTTGACTTCTGCGGCGGCGAAAATCGCCGACGTTCACAATACGTGTCATCAACGGATGAGGCAACAGCCATACTGTAACAATTTGCCGATGGAATATTTTTTGCGGGATCAAGATGATTACACAATTGCACGTTGAATTTATTTTGGTGTTTTACACTGCAAATTTGGCTACTTAATTTTAAATCAGTACTTGTACTCTTTGTGGATCCGTGGGTGTATGGCTTGCAAATATTGTTACGTACTAATCTTCGGAGATGCCGTTTACTGACCACAAGTTTATTTGTTCGATTAGAGAATAAGCTACTTACATGCCTTTCTTCAAGTAATTCTTTTTCCTCTTGCGACATGTTGTTCCGACATATATGTTGACGCTACAACTACGCAAATCACATATACATATGATGTACTAATAAAAATAGTACCTTTAATATACAGTAGGTTATTATACGTTAATACGATAAACTAATACCGATTCAAGAACCTTTATGGTACTTATTTTTTCACAAAACACGAACGTTTCGCGGGAATCCGTCGTTCTAGCACGATGCGCAATAACAAAATACTCCTCTGTCAAAATTGCAGTGCGCAAGCGCTCTGAAGAATGTTTTAAATGCGTCTCAAGAGGAACGTTTGAGAAACGTTTCAGCAAAAATGTGCCTGAAACGTTTCTATTTAGGTTGCACGTTTGTTTATGAAATGTTACACTGGAACGTTTCAAATTATACGCGTTTGGGATGTTTCGTAATGTTTCATAAATGTTTCGTGTTTACTGGGTTGTTTTTGTATCGAGAACGAGAATTGGTCAAGTGTTTAACGTACACTAATTTGACCGGTAAGTTTTGTGTAATCGGAAATTGACTCGTGTTTATAGTGGTGCAATAAATTAATTCAACTTTTTGTGGTTTACGTTTGCTTTAAGTGCAAAATGAGTGATGATGAAAAAAAACTACGTTTACCGGTTGTTTGTTGAAAAACTTAAAATCACCGAAGAACAAAAAGAAGCTACAGAATCTCACGATGAACCTGTCCTACAGTTAGAAGAATTGCCAGGAACATCGGCGGTAACTGATGAAAATACTGCCAGTACATCAGGACAGGCAAAAGCAGGTAAATTTATATTTGCATATACCGTATGATCAAAAAATTGTCATAATTAGGAAAGGGTGTGATCAAAACACTCAGAACCTGATACAGAATCTTTGTTTATTGGAAACAAATGGGCTAAGTAGGTAGGTTCACGTATATTAATCACGGTCTGCTTTTTATCTGAGAACTTTTCGATCATGCAGTATTTTTAGAGAACGAATGTTCATTTGAAAAGCGACAAGTTGGCATTACTTTTTTAATAGAAAAAAAAACAGGAAGTTGATTATGAATTATACACAATTTATCTCAAAGTTTTTGTCATTACAGATCTACTCGCATTGTTTTTTAAATCTTCATGATTTTACAATTGCCTTTTTCGGTTCTTCATCATTTCATATTTCAAAAACTATTCACAAGTTTGTCTTAGATTTTTAACCGTACTATATACAAACACTGTTGATTCTAACTATGTATCATTTTTGGTACTTTCTAGTCTCTTTGAATTTCTTGAAAAAAAAATCTTTTGTTAACCCGCACAACAGATCCTTTGAAATTTTCAATATGGAGTTTTTTTTTTATTAGTGAAGATTTTAAGTGGGAACAGCGACAAAATTGTGTATCAATGTATGAAATATTTTTTTAAAGAAGTATTTGAGAACGATCATTGTTTTTGAGGCAAAAATTATTGAGTAAGGTTTGGTATACCGTACATTAATATAACTGAGATTTTGCGTTTATGCATTGTTTGAGGAACGATTGGATTTCCAACACGCTTGATTGGAAGAAACGACTTGTTATTGATTATGTTCATTTTCCAATTTTTCAAATTCAATTTTCCAGCAATTTATCACATCATATCATATAAAATACATAAAATAAATCTATTATTAGTTTTGCCTTAGTTTTTAACAGTTGTAAACATGAGCATTACTGATTCTAAAAATGCTAATTTTCACTTCAGAACACTTTTCTTACAGATAACAAAGAAACCAGATTCATTTTATTACTGAGAATAAAGAGTGTTTTCTTCCAATTAAATGACCAATTTCAAGTCAAATCGTGCCTCAAATAATGCGTACATGTGGCATATATCTCAGTTAACATGCCGTATCCAAGCCATCCCTCGAGTTCAAAAATTTTTACCCCAAAGACAACCTTCGTTGTCAAATACGTTTTCCTTACAAAAATTCTTTTAGAATGTAATTCTAAAACACCTTTCGTGTAAGTAACCAAGAGCGATTTTTTTGGAAGAAATTTAGACAATAGGTACAATAGTTTCATTTCTAAAATCATTACTGTTTGGTTATAATACTACTATTAAAAAATGAAGACGAAATAATGAATATGTAGTTTGAAATTTGATGTGATAAGACATTAAAAAACCTAATTTTAAAATTATGAGAAATCAATGTATAATGTAAATTTACTTCGAAATTTTAATCTATATGAATTGAATTTTAAGACGATTAAATGCGGAATGATCAAAACTTTTGGATCATTTGTACGGGAAAAGGTAGGTTTACATGATATTCATAATCATAATACACGTATAAAGTTTGACAACACACCGTCAAGTAGTTTTGGAGATCTGTGTAACAAAAATCGTCACGGATGGCGGACTGACCAACAGACGGAAACTGGAGACCACTTTATTCGTACTCTAGCTATCATGATTCATCGAGAAAATATGAAAGCAACCAGTCGCCCGATGAACTCAATTACTTTACGTTCTGAAAGTAACCATTCAAAAAAACCTAAAAAATAAAAAATCACGACATCTTTGAAAATGCTAATAAACTAAATAAAACTACAATAAATTGTTCAAAGTGTTCTGCGTTTACAATTTGCCAGTGATGTAATCGACAAAAAAAATGTTTCAATGAATTCTATGCCTGTTGTGGCATTATAAGTACGATGTGATTTTGCTTTATTAGTTTTTTAATTTTATGAATTTTGACCATTCGAGCGTAAGCTGTTAAGTAAGTTTTGTAATCGAGTCGATCATGCGACTGGCTAATTTCATATTTTGTCTGTCCATCCGTCCGTCCACCCTTTTTGACGATTTTTGTTAGACAGATATACTACCGGACCGATTGTTGTGAAACTTTATATTCAAGAGCGCGGGAAGTTCTGTCGAAATAAACTTCAATCAATTTTTTTTCTGTAGAAATAGAACCTGTTGATAATTTCTGAGAGTAGTTTTATTATTCTAAATTGGAAGGAAAGAAAAAGTCATTCGAAACAAATGTATAGCATGCTCCTTAACCTTTATTTTAATATATACACATATATTTATTTTAACTTACAGAGATTATTATAAAAAATTAAATTCGAAAAATCAAATTTTATAATTTTTCAAAAAAGTTGAATTTTTCAACGGTGCCTCAGGGTTGTTGAAATAACATTCCACCAATTTTTTTTAATGGTCCTAGTAAGTTAAAATACAAGATGTGCATGTATTTCAAGCGAATTTTTCTCATACACTTTCTTGATTCGTTCTTGACGAAAGAACATGTTTGGTTGCCTACATTTACAAAAAATGTCCTTTTTTGGTTTTGCTTTAATCAACAATAACTAAAAAATAGATGGTTTAACAAAAAAATAATTTCAACTCCCAGATGAGCAATAATATTATCTACACTGTCAGATTTTTAAGCCAAAATACGTTATAGCTTTGGCTCAAAAAGAAAAATAAGTTTTTCTGTTTTTATTTTTTATTAAAAAAACGAAAGCCTCTAATGCAATATAAAAACTATTTCCATGAAGATTTTTGTATTACGAACACGTAGATATGTGGCACAAGTCTTCAAGTGCTGTCGCAAGGATGATATTGGAAGTGGCGTTTTTCCGTATTTCGGCAGATTTTAATGACCGTAAGTGTCCTTCAATGGTCAAGTCCAGGTAAAACCTTAGATCATATAATGAATAGATACCAATACTTAAACTGAAAGCTGTGACTAGACATGAAGCTATCTGTTGTCGTTTTCTACGTCAAGGGGAGTAGTATAATGCTATCCTTGTGTGATCACCACATCTTCATCTTTGTTATATGCATTTCATCTGTATATGTCTATTTCACTTCCATCCTTGTATCGCACCAGCGCAAAAAATGGCTTTTGACAGATGTTTCTTCTAACCTCTCTTTCGAGTTGTTGTATAAAAAACAATTTTAGAATTTAGAACAAAGATCCTATTTTCAGTGATGTAATCATAAAGGATCACAATTGCTGCCCAATAATTTACTATTCCTTTCGTTATCTACTGTAAATTATTTATAAAATCAAGCTGTCAACATCTTTCGTACGAAGTTAGTTCAGACATACTTCCTAAAATTTAGGCGCGCAAAATTCAAATAGTGATCAGGCAAGGATAGCTTCATTGTAATCCCTCCATGCACGAGAGAGATGTGTGACAGGAGGATGTCGTCACAGGCTCTCCTAAGGAAAGAACACGGCATGGTGATATCTATTTATTATATGATCTAAGGGTAAAACGCACAAGATACGATACGGCTAATTAACAAGTATTTGTCATCCCGGCAATGCCGGAATTTGAACAAAATATGCATTCAAAATCATATTCGTTGAAAAAGGCACTAAATAAGCATATAAGTTTTAATATGCATACAATTGAAAAAAAAAGCAAATTAGCATAAAAAACAAGTGTCAAATGACTCCAAATTGTATCATAATTACAGATATAAAAAAGTTTTGAAGTGCTTACATTTTTTAAAGAAAGCATTAAAACCTAGAAATCCGCTCTCTAGTTACCAGAAAAGGCATGTTTCGGACACAGACAAAGTAAACATTACTTGTAGAAGGACGACAATATGATGCTTAGAATATTTTGTAATTAAAGTTAGAAATTTTTCTTTAAAAAAATACAGTTTCAGCGTCAAGATATACAATCTCAGATGATGAAGATAGCGATCCTTACAAAAATCCAGAGCTAAGCGAGGAGGAATATCATCCCACGAGCCACAGCGAGAATAGCAGTGATGATATTTCTGAAAGCGCATCGCTGTCCACAGAATCACAAAAGACAATTACTCCTATACGATTTGAACCTGGAAAAGAAGGAAAGAAGGGATTTCTAAAAGGTGTAAAAAGGAAATTATTTGATGCAGGTAAATTTACACAAAAAAACTAAAACTATTTTTGTGATGGTAATGGATTTCTTCTTTCATATTTTTAGACGATGATTCGGCCGAAGTAATAGAAGTAACTCCCGTTTTTGGAAGCAAATGGTTCCCTGAGCAAAGTGTCAAGAAAACATTGAGTGATCGTTCGATAGTTGCCAAACTTGAATATGTAAATGATATTGCACGATTATATACACACCAAACCCTTCATCGTGGTTTATTTAGAAAAACATTAGTCGAACGCGTTCACATGGGAGATGAGACTGCAAGAAGTTTATATTGTTACATTTTTGTAGTAGACGTAGACAGTTCACATGCTACTTGCAAAGGTATGTGAACCTTTATAGTTGTTTTATATTTTTTTGCAATATTTTGCATTTACAGTTTTTGATCCTATGAAATCAATGGGCAAGCTTGAGCGTCAAGAAAGGAATGTTCTAATTGAAATATCACAGTGTTGTCCTGCAGAGGAGAATGTTTATTGGGGACGAGTTCACTTCTTCAACATCATCTGTATGTATCACTTTGTTAAAGAGATCATATACATCGCCAATTGAAAAATCGAAGGAAATGCCAAATACAAAGCTGCGTGCACACTTTTGTTTCATCTCTCGAGAATTTAAAACATGCATTGGCAGACATTTACAGAAGGTAATAAAATGTTCACAAAAAATAAATAGTACAATTATATTGTAATTGCAGATGCATAAATACCACCCAAAAGTCCAAGAAGTTTGCCAAGAACAAGATTTGCGAGAGAAAAGAAAATTACTGACGCTTCTTAGACGAGAAGGTGATCGAATATACAATTTACAATGTAGTCCAGGTAAAAGAATACCTGTTAGGTTCGCAGCTACGCAGGAAATAAAGAATTTTGTAACTTGTCCTAATTGTAAGGGTCTCTTTGCTCGAAGACATTTTTCGTTGCATGACAGAAAATGTACAAAAAGGCCGCCGGATGGAACAAAAATTGTTCGGTTGGCTATAGAGATGGAACAAGAATCAAAAGGAGAGCCATTGGATGAAATTTTATTACGTGCGGTATATAAAGATATGCTCGAAGATGAGATAGGAAACATAGCTAAAAGTGACGCTACAATTAGATTATTAGCTTTGCAGTTAAGAAAGGAACATTATGAAGCTCACCACCTAGCGAATACGAGATCACAATTAAGGAGATGTGCCCGTCTACTGATCGAAGTTAAAAGACGAAAAGAAGCAATAACTTGTTTCGCGGATTGTTTCCATCCAAAATATTATAAACTTCTGACTGAAGGCATTCGAACTATTTGTGCTAAAACGAGCGAAGATGGAAAGGTTACTTTTGAAAGGCCTTCTCTTGCTCTTCAATTTGGGCCATTGTTTTCTAAGATATGTAGGCGTCTTTTAATTCAGTTAAAATATGAAGAGGTACCAAATCACGATCCCAGATATAAACAATACGAAGATTTTTTAACTATTCATGAAAGCGACTTCAAAACTGAAGTATCTATGAATGCTTTACGGGACGTTAAAAACAAGAAACTGCAGAAATATAAACAATTGCCATCAAATGCTGACGTCAGATTATTTTCCAGTCATCTGCGAGATGTTGTCAAAACCACAATGAAGAAATTACACGAGGAAGATTTTTCCCAACATGTATGGAAACGACTTGGTGAAGCTATTTTGTGCCAATTAATGGTTTTTAATAGACGCCGACCGGGCGAAGCATCACGAATGATTTTGTCAGATTATTTTGACAAAAGACGAATGACAACTGACGAAAGCAAATATTTGACTAGATATCAGAAGATTCTTAATGAAAAAATGTGTTTCATGTTTTTAACAGGCAAAAGGTTGAAACCCTTAAATTTGCTTTTGAAGGAGGAATTCGTGGAGTAAGTATATAAATATGACATGAAGTAATTATTTATTGTTTCCGCTTAAGGGCTCTTGATTTCTACATTTCCTTCCGTAACAAGGCTGGAATAAGTCCAAACAATGTCTACTTGTTCCCAGATAGAACAAAGGTTAAACACCTCAATGCATCTGTTGCAATGAAAAAATTCACGTCAGAAATCCAACTAGAAAAGCCCAATTTGATTACTGGGACGTATCTTCGTAAACAAGTAGCAACGAAAGCCCAGCTGTTGACAATGGATCATAACGAAATGCAGATTTTGGCAGATTTTATGGGTCATTCGATAGAGGTTCACAAAGAAAATTATCGTATGTCCGATACCAGCACCCACTTACTAAAGTTGACACGTTTTCTAAGTGTAATAAGTGGAGATGATGATATCGAAAAATTTTGTGGGAAATCTTTTGAAGAACTACAAGAATTTATTCCTCATGAGGATTACGATTTGGAAGATGTTTTAGAGCTAGAGAATTTTGATGAAAACTTATTAGCAAAAGAATTATGTAAGTATTGACTCATAAATTCTACATCTAACAGATAAATTAAAGATTTGAATAACATGTAAGTGTATTAAGATTTGTTTTTTGAGACAGAATTTTTTTTCCATTTTTTGGGAATTGAAGTTTATTGAAATTGTATCGTTTGTGCATTGTACGAGTTGATATCATTTTCGTAACTTTATTTCGTCGGCATCTAGCTGTAGTTAGTGTAGTAACTGTAAAAACTTTGAATGTCACATTTCAAAAATTAACGAATTAGGACTAGATAACTAATTAAATGGTGTTACTATATAGTTTGTCTTGATATTTCTATCAGTGTGACAGTTAACAGCGTGAAAAGTAATTATTGTTTTAACATATTCCTTTTATTGAATGAAGCAGTGATTCTGAATTGGGGCTTCTTAAATCTACAGTTTGAAAAGTTCTTTTCAATCAAACTTTTTAAGCAAAAATTAAAACAGATTTCACAAAGTGTGGTATTCCCTCTTTGCATTAAAAAATAAACTTTTGATTTATATCTTTAAACGTATCTATGTTATTACAAATCGTCGTCTTCGTTCCAAAATATTTAAACAGTACTGCTATATGCCTGCTTTGTTATGTTTGATAGCATGGAATTCAAATCATCCTATTTAGTCGTTGTAAATAGTATACCACTACTTTACGCTCGATGGGTACATTATTGGTGGTTGGTTATCCGATATTTCCAGAGACTTTAAATGTGTATAGACCGGCTATGTGGCCTAAAACTTGAATCCGGCAGTCGCCATATTGCTTAGTACCAAAATCGCGCCAAATTTAAAATCTCAACAACTTCAAAGTTATAAAAACACGAATCCTAACAAGTTTATTTGGAATAGTAAGGTGTTGTCGATGAAATGAAATACCTTCTTGACCACTACTCTTTTGTTTCGAATTACGACACCACCGTACAGCACAGCTCACTGGCTTTTTGGTTCAAAGTTAACTTAATTTATTGAATACTACCGTAACAAACGCGCCACGATTGGCATTATATGCCAAGAGCTGGGTCCAATAAACAAAAAAACCAACGAATAATAATCCACACTCGGCACCCAACAAACTGATGTTGCTACTTCTATTAACGAAAACTTAAAAATTGAGAATTGGGATAGTTCCGGTTATAGGTTAAGTTGGTTAGGGTTGACCACGGTGGTAGAAGTAAGGTGTGGAAACCTCATTCATAGCTTTCCTCAAAATCATTGGTAGAAAACACAAATCGCGTGGTTTGGATTATATGTCATTAGCTGTCTATAGCCACTAGATTACATGTTTTGACTTTTTGTGCTACGTTGTTTACACCAGGGTAGACAACACAAAACACAACCAAAACATCTGACATTTAGTTACTTCAGTGCAACCAACACAATTTGGGACCAGCCAGGAGACCCAGGTGACGCTACTATATGTAATCTAGTGGCTATATAGCTGTCCACACCGCAGCGACGTCTAGAGAGATCAGTTGAAATTAAGTAATAGAAAACTGCATTAAATCTTTGACATTTATGCCAATGTCATTTATTACCCAATCACAAATGTCGAATCATCCACCAATCACACGATTCACACCAAAGACCAACCACAAACCGTAGTGCTGTGATTTATTTTCCCTCCAACGAATCTGTCACTTAATTCATTCATAAATACACTGACAAGTTGAAATGTTAATACATAGATGGACATACTGTGCTGCATACTATTTCGTAGTAAATAAGCCTACTGGGATGCGTGTTTTAATCAACAAATTGGAGCGGCTTGTTTCTACACCTTACTTCTTTCTTAACCACCGTGGGGTTAACAGAAAGGGACTAGCAATGGCGGGGTATCATGTGCTTCAACAAAATACACTAGAATTTAGGGTGATAGCCGCTCTATTCATATTTAAAGTCTCTGGATCAGTCAGCCGGCATTTCAGATTGCTTTCCCTTGCGATGTAGGCGCCACCATAAGTGAGCTGGAGAATCAACGAAGACGATAATTCAAATAATCAAATAGAGTGGTTCCGGTGAGAGATTGGGATTTCTTGACAGTTGACATGTAAGTTGGCAGTAACCTAACACTATAAAATACACTGAAATTCCTACGCTGTCACTCACAGCTGGCTGTCACTGTCTCTGTTACAAATGTAAAACTACTGAAGGTTCCATTACTAAGGTTAGGCCACTTTTCTGACTCTCATCTCCATTGCTTCTTTAAGCTACGTGTCTATTTGAGAGGGCGCTTGCGAGAAATAATTCCAAGCCCGTAAAGCCATGGTCGGGCCTGTTCTCAACTGGGTAAACGTATCGCTCGCCCAGGGTTTCTACCTGGTTTCTCCGAGTTTGTGAGCGACTCTCACATTACGAACGCGTTTCGTAGTGCGACAATGATCTCCGATAAATCTGTTTTACCACAATTTAGAATGATTTTGAAATTTCAAATTTCGCGCGGATGTTACACTTTTCTTCACGTAGATTTAGTGACTTTTCTGTCAATCAATCTCTCACCGTACGCAGTATAGCTGCCAAAGGGAAAATTTTATGTGTCAATCTAATTTACTAAAAATAACATTTAAAGATAAATGTTTTAGTTTTTCTAATATGATCTTTTTATTTAGTGGATGAACCTCTAGACGATGATGTGGTAGCCGCAGATTCAAAGAAAACTGGACAAAAAGAACAAACGTACAGGACACCAACAAAACGAGTCATTACAAGGAGTTTTAAAAGAAAAGAAAGTGAGTCTATTGCCATGCTGACACCAGAACGTTCCACAGCAGAGACTCCACATAAAATGCAAAGGATTTCTCCTGGAAAACCACGAACTCCTTCAACAAAACAACTTGAGGCAATACTTTCTGATCCGTCGAAAAGACAAAAATTAACATGGAATAAAAAAGAAACTGCTTTATTGCAAACAATTTTTAAAACTTACATAGAAAACAAAAAATTACCCACTTTGAATTTCTGTAAAAAAGTACTTGCTGAAAACAAGGACGTTTTTCAAACTGCTCGTAAAACGAGGTCACTGTATAGTTGGATTCAATATCGAATTAAATAGAAATATTTGTGCCTTTAGTTTTTTTGGAATTATGGGTATATTTTTTATTTTCTACCCTGATGGTATATGAGAATGTTTTTAAAACTACTCGTAAAAGTAAATCATTGTATAGTTAGGCTCAATATCGACTTAACTAAAAATATTTGTGTATCTTAGTTGTTTGGAATTCTTCAGAATATATTAGTTTCTGCCTTAATATGTTTTTTTAAGATTTTTCTATTGAGAACGTTTTATTTTCACTCGTGAAACGAAATCACACTATTTGGTATCTGTAGAACTTTTTGTGAAGCTTTAATTTGTGGAAATTGTTTTTTTATTTTTAACCTTGATCAGTTTTTTTTTATATTCTTTAGTTGTGGGTTCATTTCCCTTGGTTGACAAAGTTTAGTAAAACAAATAAAATGTTACTGATAATGATTGCTTTTTATTTCAGTATCAAACATTAAAACTGATGAATTTTCCCAAATTAAGTATTTCATTTATGCAGTGCATCTTTTTTAAAAGTGGTCATGGGGGGGGATTCCTATTCTAAAATTTAGACCCCATGTTAACTTTTGTTAGGGTGAAAACCCAGAGATGATTTTTGCGGTGAAAGTAGTAGATTGTACTTTAATCTCCACTACTACTTTTGGCAGTAAATTTTTAATTTTTCCTTGAAAAAAAAACTATTTTGATTAAAAAATTCTGGTACATCATAGGCTTTGACTTGTCATTTTTGACAGCACAATTTGAATTTAATCATTAAATACCTTTACTTCAGTTTTTAGAAATGAAACAGAGTGATGGAATTCAAACATAAATGAAGAAAAAAGAAAATTTCACCGAAATTGCATTTTTGATGTTCACGATCGAGAAAACCTGTGTTTATAAAACTGCCATGAAATTTTTAAATTGTTCTTTTGTCAGGTATGGGACGATGGGGGAATGCTGAAGCAAAATTTTGTGCAATTTTTCTGTTCTGTCGATAAACCTTTAATGTATCCATTAGTGACTATTTTCACTTTTTTTTTAATTGTGTACTGCGACATGTTGACGAATTTGGGTCACTAAAAACCAGTAATCGAACGAATAATCGAATTTTAGGAACGTCTGGTAAATGTCTGTTTTTACATGGTTGCCTACAATATAGCCACAAAGATATCCAAATAATTAATTTTTTTTAAGAAATATCCTTTAACAAAATCGACAAAAATGACCCACATTACATTCTTTAAAAAAATAAACTCTGAATATTTACTCAAACATAAGTTAACATGGGGTATAAAATTCAACATTGGAATCTCTATGGCCACTTTTAAAAACGATGGACGGTGTAGAGCTTACATTATACATACTTGACAAAATAGCATGTTGTTAAAACATGTGTACTATGAGTTGCATAATCTTGTCTGGTCTTTTATGAAATACAGTATAGGGATATATTTATAAGAGCAAGTTTTATTAAAATTTTAAAGTTAAATTCAATGTCATGTGCTTCGGTGGAAACTAAACAGTGCTGAAAGTTCTTTTAATTTGAAAGACAATGCGACGCAGTGATGAAACTACCCGCAAGATGTGTATCATTTAGTTGAAATTGTAACTGAATATTTTTGGGGAGAGTGAAATTATACAATTCAAACTCAACAAAAATGGGTTTTATAAAGGCCAAAATACTGTAGTTGTTCAACGTTTGGCAATAAAATTAGGTAACTGTACCCTATATGGCCATATACCTAAGCTTTGAGATTTTTTTTAATTTTTGTAAGAACTTGAAATGGAAGGGTAATAGTGGGAGTTGTTTCTACATAATTTTCAAATTTCAGGCATTTTCAAAATTGTAGAGTCCAACAGTACCCGGTTTAATTAAAGTGTGTCTGTAGGCCAAATTGAGTATATAGATACCCAATACGGCCTGTTTAAAAAAATCGAAAAAAAAAACAAAGATAAGCATGGAAAAAAGTTTATTGACAAACAAATTGTTAATTTTCAAAATAAGGAGAAATAATACAAATATCTTTCTCATTTTTAGTGATACCCACGCACTCCTCGTGCACGTATTTCTTACATACGGAGCATATTCTCATATCTTTTACAATATCTTCTTGGTACATCTCGCAAAAACAATTTTCTTGCTTTTTCCGTGAGCTTGCTTTTTGTTTATAGTAATTTAAATCAGCTTATTCACAAAAAAAATCAAACGAGATTTGCAGTATGTACCCAACAGGCCAACCGCCCGCCTAGGCCATATTGATTCCACATCACAAGCGAACATATTATCAGTAATCCCAACTGAAAAGCTGTTAAGAAGTACAACTATGCAGATCGCTTAAAAGTGGAAAAAAGGAGCTACATAATTATAAAAATATGAAATTGATGACGTAATTGAGATTAAAATTATCCAGAGAAAACTTACCGGCATAAAATAGAGCGTATACTGACTCGTCAAATCACCATCACAAATAATTCCAATGTAAGGAAACGAAACGGTGTATTACTTTACTGATTGCTTCTATATGGTATAAAAACGTTCCAGAATGTATCCCAGTCGCGATCTACCACATTTTGTTTGAAACATATGAGAGAAAGCCAATAGGCCATATTGGGTACTAGGCCATATTGAGTTCAGTTACCTTAATAACAACAATTTTGGAACACTCCTTTCAAAAACACAAAAAAGTTTTACGAAGATAAAGTAATTACAAATTTTCAGTGTCGGTTATTTTATTTACCTAATTAATTTTAAATGGAGTCGTTAAATATTGAAAACTACTTAAATTTAGTCAGCTACTTTCCTTTAAATTATGTTTAGGGAGATATGGCTGTAAACGTTGTGTCCTCAGTTTTCTACGTTTTTTAAGATTCTCCGAAAATTTACTCGAATGTTTTCAGTGTTCGCAAATATATTAATTTATTTAACTTTAAATGCAGTTTGGTAAAAGCCCGACAACTCTTTATGTATATATAATGTTAGACAGAGTTTGTTAAATATTAAAATTACCCAAATCAATGAAGTGAATGTACTTTAAAGTGTGCTTAAAATATACAGCTCTGTAAAATTGCTTGCATAAAATATTAGCAGAAGTTCAAACCGTTGATAATACAGAGAGCAAACCAGTATGTCTACCTATCGGCAAATAAGAGAAATGCAAACTCTAAAATCTTGTGAGAGCACACACCCGCAAGAGGTGAAGGGGGAACAAAGGGCATGCTCGTGTAATGTAACCTACATCATTAATATTATTATTATATGTCATGATGTAATCCAAATTATAAAATAAACTAGAGACCAATAATTTGTTTCGTTTTTATTTATGGGTTTTTATAAATATACCCAATTGTTTTACTTAAAACTAAGTACTTCAATTATAACTGGTTCCCTAGCTGGTTAGTATCGGCTAAGTTCAAACTAAAGAAGTATAGAAACTACCTGTGTATACTGAATGGATATCCGGCTAATTATAAGGTTTATGGTAATCTTTGATTCAACAAAATAAAATTCTTTCAGGTAATACACTTTGATCTTTGATAAAAAGCCGAGAAGCAATAGGATTGGTGATTATATAAAGTAACAATAATAAAATTTCTATTAGTAACATTGACTTACACTTTTATATAAGTGGCGGGTCTAAAAAAACAATAATATTTATATATACAGAAATTAGGAGATAAAAGTATAATAATAGTAAAACTAGCACACTAACAAAATGTTTAGTACATGTCAAACAGAAACATAGATTAAAGATATATAACAATTCACAGATTTACATAACTGATAATAATTAAAATTTATAATTCAAGTATGCGTCCAGGTGATAGAAGGCCATATCGAGGAGAAAGTGCTTTATTTTATATTTAAAATTATTAGAGTTAAGAGTTCTGTAACATGAAGGAAGGTGGTTATACATATTGACATTAATAGATAGTTTTTCCGTTTAAGCTAAACGAAATCGTTTGGATCTAATCAAGCTTGCTGCTCTGGTGTTATGCTGATGTATTTGATGTTGATATGTATATTTGCTGCGGTTTTCATGTATATATATTAAAGTCTGATAAATAAAAATGCAAGGGAAAGTTAATATGCGATGTTTAATAAAAAAAGGGCGACAGTGTTCACGCCAGCCTAGGCTTAAGATGGTGCGAACAGCACTTTTTTGTAGGCGAAAAATAATGATGGAGGAAGTGGAACCACCCCAAATCGTTACAGATAGGTAATGTTTGAATGGAAGAAGCCATAGTAAACAGACATTAACGCTTCAAAATCAACAGTGTTCTTTATACTTCGTATTAGGACGTATTATTTAAGACATTTTCTAAATTTTTCATAAAATTATGAAAGTTACCTGAAGTGCTAGGTCTATATAGTGCAATAACGATAGTAATCAATTCGGGGATTTCGATGCCACAGAACTCGGCATGCATTTCAATAGATTCCTCATCCAGACTACAAATCAAGGAATTGTGAGCAAATATAGAAACACCTCTATTTCTTCTTTGTTTCCTGCAGAAAGAAGATATTAATTTATATTTGTTATTAAAATTTATCATTGACAGAGAGTCCTTATTTAATATCCAGTGTTCAGTGATACATACTATTTTAAAATTATATTTGAGTAGAAGATCACTTAACTCATCGATTTTGTTATTTAAACACTGTATATTAATATGGAAGATTGAACAAAAATCTTCATTGATAAATCGTGTCAAATTACTAGCTGAATTCCTGTGATGTCATTCAGGACTGGTGGTCGTTAACAGGTTTTCTTCGGCGAAAAAAGTTGTGCCTTCTTACTGCAATCCCAGTTGGCCAAAAGTCGGGGGAGTATAAAGTATCATGTAGCTCAAAGTCCGTCCTACCTGAAAACTCTTATTTGAATTTGGAGAAGTAGATGATATGCTCACAGTTACTCGATAGGTAGTTCTGAATTTTATCAACCGTTACGTCAGATCGTACTCTACTAACGTGTAGCCAGATTCGCCGCTTTGCTGCAGCAAAATCGCTCGGTGAGTGTTATACCCCGATCCGAGAGAGACCGCAGTAAGAGACAGCAAATGGAACGGATAAAATAAAGCTTCAAACATGATCAAAATTATGAAGTTTTATAAATCGAGTATTTTTTTTTTTGAAATACCATAGTAAACACTTCAAAGAATGTCCATGACTTACTTTAATGTGAATTTTATAACTATGGTCGGCACAGTTAAACCTA